AACCTCTCCACAGTCTCATGTCTCAACACAGGAGAGGAGGTCAACGCTCAACTGTTACCTCCTCTCGAGGATGTGAGATGGATTTGAGGACAGTAATGTGTTCAGATTCAGATTCGGATTGAAATATTCTTTCTACCTGTGTGTGTTTTGAACAGAGAGAAGCAAAAGACTGTTAGAGAGGGCGAGTTAATTAAACAGTCAACGTCAAACAACACGAACAAAATTAAACAGAATAAGACGAGCATGCACAGTACAGCTTTAAATCTAATCCGCAGTCATTTTCCCACCGGGGCCACTGTGGCTAAGAGGTTAGAGCAGTCTTCCTCCAATGCAAGAGTTGGGGGTTCGATTCCACCAATAGTTGCATGCCAATGTGTCCCTGGACAAGACAATGAACCCCTAATTGTCTCCGATGTGTGTCCCATTGGTGTATGAATGTGACAAAGCTCTGATCAGTATTTGTAGAGATCTAGTAGTGCTGAGTGAATGGGTAAATGAGGGCATAGATTGTAGTGTAAAGCTCTGAGTATCTTGACAAGATAGAAAGGTGCTATATAAGTAGTCCATTTACCACCATTTTGCATCTTCATGCACATCACCGAAACATTTCTCTGGTTAACCATGTTAAAGACCCAAACGATTCACAAGAAAGTGGGCAAGCTGACTGATTTTTACATCAATTCAGCTGAAACTGAACCTCTTCACTATTTTGTTTGAACCGAGAAAGTTCTTCAAGTGAAAATTAAGTCCAGTTGTCTTTGAATGCGCCTTTTAGGACCTTAAGTATCCAAAACCAGAGATGCAGTAATACCAGTATTGAGTATTGGTTCCTATATTGTGTGCCTGTATCCTTACTCATACTTGAAAATTTGTTCTGATACCACAGTACCAATATCAATTTACTTTATTTCTGATTATGAAGGTGGCACCAGGACAGTGGTGACAGATAGTTTAAAGGTGGAGCTGGGAGTGCATCAAGGATCAGCTCTGAGCCCCTTCTTAGTTGCTCTTGTGATGGATGGACTGACTAACAAATGAGGTCAGGCAGGAATCCCCGTGGACTATTATGTTTACAGATGACAATGTGATCGGTGTTGAGAACAGGGAACAGGTGGAAGAGAACTTGGAGAGGTGGAGGTATGCACTTGAAAGAAGAGGAGTGAAAGTCAGCCATAGACGGAGTACATGTGTGTGAATGAGAGGGAGGAGGTGGAACAGTGAAGCTACAAGGAGCAGAGGTCACAAAGGTGCAGGACTTCAACAAACTCACCTGATCTGAACTTGATTAAAAGTTTGGATCTTCTTCAAAGTGATCTTGCCACTCACTGTCTGCAGAGAGTCGTACAGAACCGACCAGAAAGTTGGGCCTGGATTACTTCCAGCCCCAGTGGTCAGTCATCGATCCGAGCACTGCTCGTCGGCTCAGAAGACTTCTTGGGTGGGAGACATTGTTCAGAGGTCCGGTGTCTTCCCTGGAGCTCATCTGGACATTTTTATCCATATTCCTCTGGATTATTTGGACTCGCTTGGGACCATTCTGTGGTTCTTTGCTGGTACTCTGAAGGTCCAGCTCTCTTCAA